TGCCATGTCTCAATTCTGCTACTGCTTATGCAATCCTCTCACCTCAGCTGCTGGAGGGTACTGATTTCAAGACTTGCCACAATTTCTCTAACCACTAATATAAAACAATGACTCAATCCATTTCCACCACCTTTTATTGAGGTCTATCGTGTGCAAAATGCTATGCCAGGTACCATGGATAATAAAAGAGCACAACAGGCCCCGGCTGCGGGGAGCTTCTAATCTAGAGATGCAATGAGTAATTCAGATAGACTAAGCACGAGAAAGTACAGATGTGGTGCTGAGGAAATCAGAGAGAAGAGAAATTGTCTTTGGTTGACAGAATCAAGAATGGCTCATGGGGCTTCCCTGGTGGTGCAGTGGTTGAGAGTCCGCCTGCCAATGCAGGGGACACGGGTTCGGGAAGATCCCACATGCCGCAAAGCGGCTGGACCCGTGAGCCATGGCCGCTAAGCCTGCGCGTCCGGAACCTGTGCTCCGCAATGGGAGAGGCCACAACAGTGAGAGCCCCGCGAACCGAAAAAAAAAAAAAAAAAAAAAAAAAAGAATGGCTCATGGAGGAAATGGTGTAAAACACTGACCCAGAAAAATAGTAGGATTTCAATAAGCAGCGAATATGCAGGAGAGGGGTGGCAAATGTACACAAAGGCCTAGACAAGGGGTGGCAAGGATTATAAACACCATGCAAGAGGAAGGCTGAGAAAGGACTTTGGAAAGTCACCCAAAGAGGGGGGTCCAAGGACTACACACTGGTGAGGGACTTTCACAGCCTTCATAGCTGCCTGTCACAGGGAGGAAGGGCCTGAGGCCACAAGCACAATTACATTCTTACCTTTTCTGAATGAGTCCAGGCTGAACATTTCTGGCCAGGAGGGAAAGCTGGAATCCTAAGAAGAAGGAGGGCCGAGAGGCAATGGTTAATACTCATGGTCCAGGAACCCACAGAGAAGATTTCAATAACACAGACAGCACTGTCCAGAAGACAAGAAAAATGAAGCTCTTCACTAATGAACCCCAACTGCTCCCAGTCTTAAGGATGGAAGGGCCATCTCCACAACAAAGTAATTACATGTCTTTGTTTCTAATTGAGAGCTTTCTTCTTTTCTCTGTCTAAACTCCCTGATCCCTGCTAAACAGAAAGGGATGCATTTCATCGTGAGAGACATATATTTCCACCTCATCACAATACTTGCAGTTATCCTGGGACGTGTAGGAAGAAATGAAATCCTACATGGACCCCTTTTTTCATGTGGCGTCAGGAAATGGGACTGATGATTGCCTTATGGACAAACTGGTGTACTGGGCTTTCATAAAACCTAGTCAAGCCCCTAGGAATGGGACTTGACTGACAGTATCAAAGAGTAACTGTAGAGTGATTCAAAATAAAAAGCTTTTCATGGCGGAGTCTCTATGAAATAACAAATATTAAGTTAAGGTTCAACTGTTGGCCAAAAATTTTGCTGCATTTTGCTCATTAGTACATTTAACTGAGGAATATACCTCGAGACTTAAACACACACGCACACACACACACACACACAAATAAGTAACACCTCTGGTTTAACAATTTTGTTTTAAAAAACACTCCAACTCACACCTACAGATTTTTTTTGTTCGTTTGTTTGTTTTGTTTTGTTTTGGCTGCCCCATGCAGCATGCAGGATCTTAGTTACCCGACCAAGGATTGAACCCATGCTCGCTGCTGTGGAAGCACGGAGTCTTAACCACTGGACCACCAGGGAAGTCCCTACAGATGTTTCTAATACTGTAGTACTCTTGGGTTGGTGCAGTAATCCTATGTGGCATTAGTTTAAAAACATCTACACAACATTTTAGCAAATCATGATGATGTCCAACATTACTAGGAATCTAACGGGGCCTACACTCCTGTTCCTGACTGCTATTCCCTCTCCTTCTCAAATCATGGGGAGGTGGGGGTGGAGGGCTGACCTGGGGACGAATCTTTCAGGTCCATAGCAGGTCTGCCCTGATGGCCTCCTCTCCCCCAGGGATGCCGGAAATTTCAGCCGATAGGATATGGTAGCTCAGAGAGAAAACTTCAATACAATATCAACAATAATACAATTTACTTTAATAAGTTACATTCTGTAGACTCCTTCTATCCAAATTAAAAGAAAAGGAGTGTAACTTGAGATTCTAATTTTAAAGAAACTCTGAATATTATAAAATCTAAAACATCTAAGCGATTATTATTTAAGAAACAATACTTTCTTGCTAAGAAGTTTTAAGTTCATTTGCTCGTAAACAGACTCTTGGTTTTGCTTTTTTAAAAAGCCCCTGATCCTTTCCACGCCAACCAAAGCTCATATAACACTATCTTTTCATGTATCAGTCTTAAAAAATATACTATGAAAAAAAAAAAAAAAAAAAAAAAAAAAAAATATACTATGAGATTCAACATAGGATCTTTTAGAGATATTTTACAGAGCTCTAGAAAATTTCATAGAGATCTAAAAGAAAACCGCCTTCCTGGTTATACAGTATTATGTTAGAAACCTTTATGGTTTAGAGTTTCTCTAAAATAAACTAGAGATAAGTTAAATAATATTATGTCCAGATTTCTTGCATAATGAAACCTAACTCCAGACAGAATCACTATGAGATGATTCAAGGACAGAGAGAGGGTATAACTTAAAATGATGCCCTTCTTCCAAGACAGTCACAAATGGATTCAATACATGCCTTTTGCTTTACAGTGTGGCTGGGCATGAGACCCACCACTACTTTGTGTGCATGGCTAGATCAACTTACCTTACAAGAGCAGTGACAGTCTCAGATTTTGTGGGCTTTTGAACTGGAGCTGAATTCTCACTTTGCTATTCCTCATCACGAGGCTGGGCCTCCTCCTGGGAAGTACAATGCTGGGTCACTAAAGTGATGGCCCCCGCAGGGAAAGAAAGTTGCTCCGGACCACTGAAATTCATCTACTAACTCTGACAACAAGGACAAGTTATGTTAGTGGCATGAAACACACACAGTACACTTTGGCCTCACTTCAGGACCTGCCATGACCCACTCTATACCCATCAAATTGTGAGCTGCCCTACATCCACACCTGTAAGATACCAAGAAAGATATGTCATGGTAAAGAGGGATGTGTAGTCCCAAAAGCATTTTCTCCAAGCCCAGAGCAAAACTTACTTCAGTTTTGAGTTCTACTCCCATCTGACTATAAAATGAATCGATCTAAGGTAGATAAAGAAGCTCTTCCAGACTGGGAAAATAACAAAATTGAATGCTAAGTACCATTTTTGTAGTTTACAAAGTACTTCCACAGACTTTATCTCACTTAACCTATGCAACTACCTAGTGAGGTAGGAAATATCCTTCCCAGAGAAGGAAATTGAGGCAGATTTTCCCAGAGAAGTTTACACAACTTGCCCAAGATGCTATAACTGCCTCAGGGCAGAATGCAAACCTGCAGTTAAGGTACTGAGCTCCAAAGTTTTCCATGCTTATACCATACCACTTATTTCCATGATATCATGCTGTTTCCATGATATCATGCTGTTGCCTATTCATTCTTTGAAAGAATATTTTATACTGACATCTTCAAAGGTTGAAAGAGGAAAGAACTTTGATAAACTCTGGACCACGATTCCATAAATTAAAACACTTTGAGAGTAAGTATCTTTTGGGTAAAGGGACAACCTACATAGGAAGAAAATGCAGCAAAGGATGTACTTCCTGCACCTAAAACAGCTACATAAATAAAGACCACTATATAAATCCCAAATACTACATCAGGAAAAAAAATTCTCCCTCCTGGAAACTCCAAGACTCCAAGATTTAAGTGTAAATTATAAAATGTAGTCAAGACCCACAATGACGGCGGGATTACCGCCTTTAAAGAAACTGCAAGGGAAACCATCAAAGTCTCATTTCGCTCTGGCCAGTAAGTTGCAACCAAAAACAGGTTGAGAATCTGCAAGTGGCCATCTGCAGTCCACTTGCTACAGCGTATGACAAGCCCCTGTGGATGGGGGCTGCAAAGTGGACAACCTCTGCCTTGCAAAATCACAATTACGGTGACCAGTGTTGCTACACGAGGACTAATTAGACAGCATGCTAACGCCATACTCCTGGCTCAGGGGCTCTGAGGACCCCTGGGACTCCAGTTCACTGCAAACAAAGGACCCAACATGCATTAGGTCTTCCCCTGCGAAACGGGGCAAGTCACCACCAGCAAACAAAGAACACCTCACCCCTTGGCCTCCCCCAGTGACAAGGTCGGTGCAAAAGGGGGCAAACCAGGGGGGCCAGAATGCATCAGGCCTCTTTGTGGACGAACAGTCCAGGCGGCACGGGGGCAGACAAAGGTCCCAGGGCACTCCGGGGGCTTCCTCCAGGCCCTGCCTCGGGAAACAGAGCATCCCCTGAGGCGGAGGCGTCGTTGCGCCAATGAAGCGGCCTCTCCCGCGGCCCCCGCGGTGCCCCTGGCTACGAGGCCAGCCCTGGCGGACCGGTCGGGCCCCCGCCCCCGCCCCGGCTCCATGGCAACAGCAGGCCGAGGCCTGGTTGCTCACGGCTCGGCCCGGCCGGCTTCCCGGGCAGGCCTCGGATGCCCGGCCTGCTCCTCCGGCCCGCCCGCTTCTCCGCCCCACTCTCCGCCAAGCCGGCGGTCGGACCCGGACCCCTCCTCGCGCTGACCACCCACGGCCGCGGGAAGCTCCTCAATGGGGCACGAAAAGGGAGAATCAAAAGCCCAATTCACCTGTTGTTACAGATGTGAAACAAGCCTCGGTGCACCGCGCATGAGCCGCGGGCCCCCCCCAACCACGGCCGGACTACAACTCCCACCAGCGGCGGCGCGGCCCCTTCCGGGTCCCGTGGCGGAAGTCCCGCCGGCCGGCGGCGCTCCCGCCCTGCGGCCCCAGCGTCGCCTCCCGCTGTGGACCCCGCGTCTCTGCGGCTCTCTATGTGGTCCCTCGCCTGGGGCCCGCAGTGGCAGCCAAGGGCTCACGCCGCCGAGCAGCCAACCGGCGGTGAGACCCCGGCGCGGGGCCCAATGGGGGACGGCCGCGGCGGGCGAGGCGGGACTTCCGGCAGGGTCACGAAGGGGGCGGGCGCGCTGGGGGCCCTGGGGGGCGCTGAGGGAGCGAGTCTGAGCGTCTGGGCTCTCGCAGAGAGTTAGCATCTGGAGTGTGAGAGCGGCAGGGCGTTCGGGTCCTCTGCGCGCCTGACCCGCTCCTCCCGCTGCGAGTGAACAGGCCGGATCAGGGCTGAGCCAGGAACGAAATCCAGCTCGCGCTCCGGGCTTCCACCCGCCTTCCTCGCCGCGGCTCGTTGCCACGCCTCTTCTCTTCTCCATCTCTGATTTTGTTTCTTTAGGGAGATGAGAATTTCTGCCTCACGAGATTGTTACGAGGATGAAATCTACGTGATGGCGCGTTGTAAACGGTACAACGCTAGGGAAAGGACAAGGTGGCACTTGAAACTCGGAGTGCTGTTGGGCAGGTCTGAAGGTCCCGCCCCCTCCGCCTCCGCCCTCACGTCTCAGAAGTGAGAAAGGGCCTTATCCACGTTATATGCAGCAGTCCTCCAGGTGAGGCTCCTGTGTGCGTTCAGTGGAATCCAATTTCAAAAGGAGAGATCTCGGTGGGGGATACCTCGGAAGCTGGGTCAGGATTTTAGAGCTGGAAACACCTAGAATATGCTTTTAAGATGTGGCCATATCCCTTCATTTTTGTCCAAACAATTAAATTCAACAACTATTTGTTATTTACTTTCTCTCTGCGTTGGACAGAAGGGTGAGGGAGGGGAGCATGGACCATCATTCATTTAAATTATTCTCTATTTTGAGCAGGGCGTGGTGCTATGACGTGTGGGGATGATCCTTGCACGGATATTGATATATAGCAGTTGATAGGCAGGTGTGGAGGATGCAAAGACCCTGCCCCCAAGGGTCTTAAGGCCTAGTAGAGAAGATGAAAACCTGCATAAAGCAAAAAGAAAGTTATAAATGCTGGGGAGGAAGTATAAAGTATTCCAGGGGCAGAGAGAACCATGTGAGCAAGGGCATCCAGGTGGAACAAAGGGCAAATCCTAAAACTATTCAATAGTTCAGTGTGAAGAGAGGGCTGGGTATGTGAATGTTCTTTAGAGGAGATAGAGCAGAAAAAGCAGAGTCAGGAATGCTACGCTAGGATTTTGACTTTATTTTTAATCAATTATTTTTTGTAACATTTTTATGGTTCTAAGGAGAGTAAAATACTGTATTTTAGGGACGTTATTCTGGAAGTGTGAGGGTAGAGTTGGCTGGGAAAATATTAGCTAGGATACTAATTAGATGAGTGTAATGAGGGGTTGAACTGTGCTCAGCGGTGAAAAAGACAAGAAAGATAAGGAGAGGGTGATTGTAGAGCTCCAGGCTGGTCCCTGGCCACAGGTGTGTGGAGACCTGACTTTGTACCGGAATGACTGGAGGGATTATGCTCTGTTAATATGATTAAGTTGGAGATAATAGATTCAGCTTCATTCAGATTGTGTTTGAAGTGCTGTTGTGAATGTTAAGTGATAAAGACGTGGTCTCCGCTCCAAAGGAAATTCTAATCTGCAAGAGAGGATGAGAAAAGCATACAAATAAGTCTTAAATCAAAAGCTAGAGGCAGCACTGCAAGAGGCACAAGTAGAACATTCTAAACTTTTTCCTTCTTGCACATTTTATGTTTTTAGATTTGTCCCTGAAGGTCTTTTCCTATTCTTGAACCTTGGACTCTTAATGAATGGCTGTATCTGGTGAGGCTGATAGAATGATCCATTTTATATCAAAGTGAGTGCCAGTTAGTGTCTATCTTTTCCCTTCCCTCCCATATATTTTATATCTTACTTCCTAGTCATTACTGCCTTATTTTTCTCATCCCTGTCCAGTCCCTAGATTTCATTCTTTGCTAACATCTCTGTCTAGAAACTTCTCCACTTCTTCTGATGTTTCCTACTCATTCTTCAAGGCTCTACTTTGAGCTTCTATTAGTTTATTCTTCTGTGTGTGGTAGCCCTATTGAGAATAGTGCTGCTGTGAACATTGGTGTACAAGTATTTGAATACCTGTTTGTTTTCAATTCTTTTGGTGTATACAGAGGAATAGAATTGCAACTTCGCTTTTTTTTCTTTTTGGCCGCACCTCTCAGGCTTACAGGATCTCAGTTTCCAGTGAAAGCGCCAAATCCTAACCACTAGCCCACCAGGGAACTCCCAACTTTGCGGTTTTTTTTTTTTGGCCGCTCTGCGTGGCGTGTGGGATCATAGTTCCCCGAACAGGGATAGAACACGCTCCTGCACTGGAAGTGCGGAGTCTTAACCACCGAACCGCCAGGGAAGTCCCCCAACTTTGCTTATTTTTAAAAGACAATTAAAACCATGAAACACTCTTAGCATTCTTTCTTCAAGTATTGGTAAGATTTGTTTTCTGTCTCCATCTGGGTCTCTGCTCAGATGTTATCTCCGAGACAGCTTCCCAGACCGCCTTGTGGATTTATGTGTGTATTCTTACCAACTGTTTCTCCCTAGAATACAGATCCTTGAGAGAAAGAACTTAATCCTTTGTTCACCACTGTATCCTAAGCACATTGCACAGTGCCTGGTCCTATTCAGAAATAAGTACTGAATAAGTGTTGTTGAATGAGTGAGCACTTTCACCTGGGAGGCTGGTTCCAGTTTAGGGAAACAAGCACTCCTACTGGGGGGACAGAAATTGGTAGTACTTTTTTAAAGGGTGGTTTGGCAGTATCAGATTTAAGATGTGCATTCCCTTTGACCCATTTCAGTTCTAAGAGTGTATCTAACCATCATCATGAATGTGTGAGAAAATCACTGGTGCCTTATACTTAATGTTAAAAAAAACCTTACACATCTCTTATTAGGAGACTAATTGAATGAAATAGAATATATCTGGGACTTCCCTGGCAGTCCAGTGGTTAAGACTCCACACTTCCAGTGCAGGGGGCGCAGGTTCAGTCCCTGGTTGGGGAACTAAGATCCCACATGCTGTGTGGCACGGCCAAAAAAAAAAAAAAAAAAAATCTGTATTAGTCTGCTTGGGCTGTCAGAGCAAAGTACCAAAGACTGGGTGACTTAAACAACAGAAATTTGTTTTCTCATAGTTCTGGAGGCTATGGGTCCAAGATCAATGTGCCATCAGAGTTGGTTTCTGGTGAGACCTCTACTCACAACCTGTAGACAGTGTCCTCACATGGCTTTTCTTCTGTGGTTGCTTGGAGAGAGAGAGGTCTCCGGTGTTGCTTCCTCATATAAGGACACCTATCATATTAGGGCCCCAATCAGAGGACCTCATTTAACCTCAGTTACCTCCCTAAAGGCCCCATCTCCAAACACAGTCACATTGAAGGTTAGGTATTCAACATATAAATTTCAACATATGGATATAATTCAGTCCATAATAACATTAATTAAATGAAGGAGGAAGCAGCAGTTTAAAAGGATGAGTTAGATCTAGTGTACAGACATGGAAAATATACAGGAAATGTCGAGTAAAAAAAGCAACTGCTATAACCAGTACGTTTATGATTCCAAGTACTTTTTTTTTTTTTTTTTTGGCTGCGTTGGGTCTTTGTTGCTGTGCTTGGGCTTTCTCTAGTTGTGGTGAGTGAGGGCTGCTCTTCAATGCAGTGCTCGGGCTTCTCATCGCAGTGGCTTCTCTTGTAGCGGAGCATGGGCTCTAGGTGCGCAGGCTCTAGAGCGTAGGCTCAGTAGTTGTGGCGCATGGACTTAGTTGCTCCGCGGCATGTGGGGTCTTCCCAGACCAGGGCTCGAACCCGTGTCTCCTGCATTGGCAGGTGGATTCTTTTTTTTTTTTTTTTTTTTGTGGTACGTGGGTCTCTCACTGTTGTGGCCTCTCCCGTTGCGGAGCACAGGCTCTGGACGCGCAGGCTCAGTGGCCATGGCTCATGGGCCCAGCAGCTCCGCGGCATGTGGGATCTTCCCGGACCGGGGCACGAACCCATGTCCCCTGCATCGGCAGGCGGACTCTCAACCACTGCGCCACCAGGGAAGCCCGGCAGGTGGACTCTTAACACTGCGCCACCAGGGAAGTCCTCAAGTGCATTTTTAATTTTTATCTTTTTATCAATTTTTATTGGAGTATAGTTGATTTACAATGCTGTGTCAGTTTCTGCTGTGCAGCACAGTGAATCAGCTATACACATACACATGTCTACTCTTTTTTAGATTCTTTTCCCATTATAGGTCATTACAGAGTGTTGAGTTCCCTGTGCTATACAGTAGGTTCTTATTAGTTATCTATTTTATATTATATAGTAGTTTGTATATGTCAATATACCAATTCATCCCTCCCCGCCACTTTCCCCCCTTGGCAACCGTAAGTCTGCTCTCTACATCTGTGACTCTGTTTCCGTTTTGCAAATAAGTTGATTTGTACCATTTCTTTAGATTCCACCAAGTGACATTTTTTTAAAAAAAAAACATGTTTATACGTATGCTTATGTAAGCACAGGACATTTCTGAAGGGATATATCAGAATTCTTAACTGTACAGCTAGGTCAGAGTCTCTCAGTTTTCAGTTAATACTCTTCTATGTGGTTTACTTTTGGGGAGCCAAAAGTATGCATTCCTTTCATGATAATAAAAAGTAGAAATGAAGTATTTGGAATATGTAGGGCTTCTGAGAAAGAAATATGGTTATAATGGTAGCTGTTAACACACCTATGCTGGCAGCTGTGCATACCTTTTCAAATATATTCAACTCAGATGTACATTTCTTTTTAAAATTTATTTTCTATTATGAATAATTTCAAACATACACAAGTAAAGAGATAGTGTGTGTTAGGTGAGGCAATCTGCCATGGACCCTGAGCACCCCTGCAAGTTCTTGTTGGGTAAATCAAGAGTGCAAGGCCCTGACTGCTCTTTACCTGGGCTATTTCTCAGGATTGTGTTTTCAGCAAGCAACCCTGAGGGAAGAAGTATTATCTCCCCCATGACAAAGGACAGACTTAGCTTCCACTTACTAAAAAAACTGAATCTGCCAAGCTCAGTGTTCCTCTGTGGTAATGAAATCCATTATGTGAGCATACAAAGGTGGTCAGCCCTTTGTGTCGCACCCAGGAAGTTTGGGGCAGGAGAACTGTTGCAAACCAATATGAATGTCTGGCAACTGCTTTTGCTGTGATTAACATCCTTTGTGTCTGACTGGGGGCTTGTGTCTTCTGCCATCATCAATGGAATAGTAATAGGGTAGCTACCAGTTTAGCTTGCATAGGTTAAAATTCCAGACCTGCACCTGCATAGTTCCTGTCAATACAATGAACACCCATAGTCCCCATCTTTCCCACCTAGTTTTAACAATTATCAACTCAAAGCCAAAACTGCCTCATCTATAAATCCCCATCAGCCAATGTCCACCACCCCAGATTCTTTTAATCAGATTATACCATTTCATCTGTAAAAATTCCGGGGTGCATTTCTATAAGATTCCTTTTATTCAGCACAGTCACAAAACAAATAACATACTTTAAAAAAGCTGGTAAATCCTTAATATAATTTTTATAGTTCTTAACTATAGATAAATTCTTTTGGGTAAATTTGAATCTTATCCCTGTCCTTTGCACCAATATTTTAAGTTTGGTATCATTGCAACATAAAAATATGAATATAGTTTATTTATCTGTTGACTTCCCATGGGTTAATTTTTTGGACCTCAAAGTGCAAAGATAGGGGAATTTGGGTAATGAAGTATCATGTGTTTAGGTATGCAGTAAACACAGTTATAAAATCAATTACTTCTGACAGAAGCTCTAGTTAATGTCATTGGCCAAATTGTACAAGTCAGTTATCCCCAACCTTATAAAATATTTATTGGTAAAACTGGAAAGAGAATGTGTAGCTCCCAGGCTGCTTTTTAGCCATCACTGTTAACCATGGTAGTACCACAGGACCAACATATAGGCTTTTTTAGAAAAGTGAAGGAAACCGATTTCTGGTCAAGATAGTACACACTTTGATACCACTCCCTTTGCTCAAAACACATGGTAGAATTAACAAGAAAAGATTGAAATTACATATCCATATTCAAAAATAAGATAAACTCTTTTGTTGACCAGGAACAAGGAGCTGTAATCTTGCTGAGCTATGGATCCAGAAACAGAGGCAGTCTGGAGTTTTTAACTTAAAAGGTAACAGATTGAAGGGGTGGGTAAAACCGTGGAATGTGGCTAACTGGGGCCTGGATTGCTGCTTGCAATTAGGAATTTAGGTAGGGCTCCCTAAACTCAATAGAGATTGACAAAACTACATCCCATCTGTGCATGAAGACATAGTTTATATGAAGTTGAATACTTAGGAAGCAGACACAACATTGAATCCAGACCTAAGTCCAGCTACCCTTTCACTTAGTGCCTGGAACTCCTGTCTCCCAAATTTCATGGTGCGAACAGAGTCTCAAATTACTAATGTAAGACTTGTTTCTGGTTGGCGTTCCTGGAGAATTGGGTAGAGGGTACCACAAAACCATGAGGGAAGGAAAGATAACATGTATGGGGAAACTTTTTCCATTCATGAAAAGCTTAGAAGTTAAGCTTCCAAAACATACAAGAAAACCTAGCCAAAAGAAAGATAACCAACAAAATCAGCATCAAGAGATGAATTCACTGTAATTGAAATGAAAATAGTGGAGCGAACTGATAATAACTTTAAAATAAATATGTTTAGAGACTTCCCTGGCAGTCCAGTGGCTATGACTCTGCACTTCCAATGCAGGGGGTGCGGGTTCGATCACTGATCGGGGAACTAAGAACCCACATGCCTCGTGGTGTGGCCAAAAAATAAAGTTTAAAAAAACCCTAAAACAAATATGTTTAGAACACTCAAAGACATAAAGGAAGGATACCTTTTCTAGAAGAATAAGAAATTGTGAAATAAAAATGGTCAGAAATGAAATGGTAATGGTAGATATTTAAAGAACCAGTTAGAAATCCTAGAAAATAAAAATGCAGTTATTGAATAAGCACATCATGAGCAAATGAACCAACGCTTAGGGCAATAATGCCCACCCCTGATTCAGAAGGAGGACTAAGGTCTTATTTAGGAGGAAGATAAGAAGGTGAATAACTTAGGATTTTGTTAGAAATTTTTATTTAGAGTATAAAAGGAATGTAAATATAACTACTAAAGAAATAGAAATATAGTTCTCCAAGCCACTCAAAGGGAAATAAAACTAATAATTGAACAGAAGGCAGGATATTAAGAGAAGCAAAGAAAAAGCATGGTAAACAGAAAAAATACATATATATGAGATGATAACACTACATCAAAACATAGCAATGATCACAATGAATGTAAAAGATTTAAACTTCGCTCCTTTTTGCCTTCACACCGGGGAAATCAGTGACCAGCTAGTCAGAGGTTTTTTGGTGCCAGACCTCTGTCCTTTGGGTCTTTTGAGTGGGACATGTAATTCTTCTATTCAGCACTAGAGGTCAGCAGCGTTCACTACTGTATTTCTTTACCCCAGGACTCTCTATAGTACTTCGGTCAGATTCTCACGAAGCAGGAATGCGTTTCTTTTAGACCTGACTTATCATTCATCTAAGACTCATTACCAAATTAAAAAAAAAAAAAAAAAAAAAGTATGGTCCTTAGAATTTCAGCTGCTCAAAATAGTTGCCAATGATGTATCTAACTGCCTGGTAGATCTAGGGAGCCAGATTTTTTTTACAGATCGTACTTCATTGATGGGCATTGGTTAGATGTTCTGTAAGTATGGCTGCTATAGCTACAGAATGAGGCTTCGAGCAGGATATACGTAGCTAGAGAGCCTTCATTGGATCTTAGGACAAATAGATTTATACAAGATATTGTCTTTACTGTTGTTGAAGACTGTTATGAATCTTTCTGGCTAACAGTTAACCTTGAAAAATCATATGGTTTGTTCACTCTCTTGGTGGTGTACTACCAGATAGGATTCTTTTTCTGACTTTTGCCTTTATATTTGCCCAAAAGTTTATGGGCGGGCTTCCCTGGTGGCGCAGCGGTTGAGAGTCCGCCTGCCGATGCAGGGGACGCGGGTTCGTGCCCCGGTCCGGGAGGATCCCACATGCCGCGGAGCGGCTGGGACCGTGAGACATGGCCGCTGAGCCTGCGCGTCCGGAGCCTGTGCTCTGCGGCGGGAGAGGCCACAGCAGTGAGAGGCCCGCGTACCGCCAAAAAATGGGGCTTTGTCTTAACCCTTCCTAGGAGAAGCAGAGAACCAGGAGGGATTCATATGTGGGAACACCCTTCTGCTGTGACCAGTTGTCCAATTTTGCCATTTTCATCTTACCTAAGTTAATTAGTGGTAGTGGCTGTTAGTCAAGAGTCACTGACTGCAAATAATACTTGGTTACTTAGGCTGAGTTTGAAACCAGTAATTATGTTTAACTTGTGTTTAAGTAGGCAATGGCTCATTTTAACTTCATTTAGCTGATGTGACGTGGGAACAGAATAATTTCCTTATGCTACTAAGACCTTAGTATATTACTATGGCCCATTGTAGATGTCTAATAACTTTATGGAATGAGCATGAATTGGCTAATGGAGTCTTTTCTTTCCAGAGTGACTGCCAAGGGAAAGAACTTTTAAAGTTGAGCTGTGAAATTCATCCTTGTTAAATGGCTTTTGCAGAACTGAACTATGCCATTGTTAAAGCTTTAAAAGACATAGTGAATGTTCAGAATTTCTACCTTGGGTGTGAAGGTACATATTCGTATGCAGAAAAACAAAAGAAAATTGAATTTTAAAAGTAAAATTTAATGCTGAAACCCCTGAGCAGTTGAAAGTATTATTAGAACTGGTAAAATGAATCTCTGGTGCAGTAAGTCAGAGAATCTCTGGGAAGCAGTAATGATTGGAGAAGGTGTGGAGAGGAGCTTCTGGCTGTCTCCAGTTCATAAGCTGGGTGGTGGTTACACAGGGGGTCCTCTTTGGCATAATCTGGCAAGCTCTACACTTATAATTTATATGCATTTCTGTAAGTACATCACCCTCCAGTAAATTTTTTTAAAACTGATATTTACTGAATTCTACTTTAATCCAGACTGCGTCCTAAAGTTCCTCAGGTGAAGGAAATTTCTCCAGGTCCCTGGTCTTTAGACTGTCTTGTCAAAACTCTGGTTCCTTCGGGTTCCAGGAGGCCTACTGAGCAATGAGTCTTCCCCAGTTTCTTCCAGCTATTTGGTTGGCCAAAAAGTTCATTTGATGTTTTCCATAAGATGGCTCTAGTGGCGCTTAGTTGTCTTTAACTTCATTTGAAACAGTTTTGTTAGACTGTATTGTGACAACTATCATATCAGCATGCATTTAGAAGAAAACTTATCAAAATTGGTGAATTTTTGTGTAGCCATTTTAATATTGAAGATGGAAGAAAAAAGCAACATTTTTGGCATATTATGCTTTATTATTTCAAGAAAGGTAAAAGTGCAACTGGAACACAAAAAGATTTATACAGTGTATGGAGAAGGTGCTATGACTGATCAAACGTGTCAAAACTAGTTTGTGAAGTTTTGTGCTGGAGATTTCTCACTGCACGATGCTCCACGGTCAGGTAGACCAGTTGAAGTTGATAACAATCAAATCGGGACATTAATTGAGAACAATCAACGTTATACACACAGGAGCTAGCCGACATATTCAAAATATCCAAATCAAGCACTGAAAATCATTTGCACCAGCCTGGTTATGTGAATTGCTTTGATGTTTGGGTTCCGCATAAGTTAAGCAAAGAAAACCTTCTTGACCATATTTCCGCATGTGATACTCTACTTAAGTGTAACGAAAACATTCCATTTTTAAAACAAATTGTGAAGGGCGATGAAAAGTGGATACTGTACAGTAATGTGGAATGGAAGAGATTGTGGGGCAAGTGAAATGAACCACCCCCAACCACACCAAAAGCCGGTCTTCGTCCAAAGAAGATGATGTTGTGTATATGGTGGGATTGGAAGGCAGTCCTCTATCATGAGCTCCTTCTGGAAAACCAAATGATTAATTCCAACAAGTACTGCTCCAATTAGACCAACTGAAAGCAGCACTTGACGAAAAGTATCTAGAATTAGTCAACAGAAAACGCATAATCTTCCATCAGGATAATGGAAGACTGCATGTTTCTATGATGATCAGGCAAAAACTGTTACAGCTTGGCTGGGAAGTTCTGATTCATCCGCCATATTCACCAGACCTTGTACCTTTGGATTTCCATTTACTTCGGTCTTTATAAAATTCTCTTAATGGAAAAAATTTCAATTCCCTGGAAGACTGTAAAAGACACCTGGAACGGTTCTTTGCTCAAAAAGATAAAAAGTTTGGGGAAGATGGAATTACGAAGTTGCCTGGAAAATGGCAGAAGGTAGTGGAACAAAAAGGTGAATACGTTATTCAATAAAGTTCTTGGTGAAAATGAAAAAATGTGTCTTTTATTTTTACTTAGAAACCTAAGTCACGTTTTGGCCAACCCAATAAGACTCACCAGGGATCCAGAAGTAATGTCACCACTATCCTTCTGAATGTATTGTAGTGTATGTTTCAATGCCACTGTCCTCTCTACTTTTATTAGAGAATGACTGGAAATGACCTTGGAGCCATAACTCTGGTCAGCACATATTAACAAATTATTAAACCTGGTTTGATCTTTATCCCTACTGTTATATAAAAAAAATTGTCATAAGGCTTCGACTGTAGTGTGAACTATATCTAAGTATGTTTTTTAAATTGTTGAAATAATTTCGCTAACAGAAAAGTATAAAGAAGAGTGCAGGGCTTCCCTGGCGGTGCAGTGGTTAAGAATCCGCCTGCCAATGCAGGGGACACGGGTTTGAGCCCTGGTCCGGGAAGATCCCACATGCTGCGGAACAACTAAGCCCGATTGCCACAACTACTGAGCCTGCACTCTAGAGCCCATGAGCCACAACTACTGAGCCTGCGTGTGTAAAGCCCGTGCTCCACAACAAGAGAAGCCACCGCAATGAGAAGTCCATGAACCGCAATGAAGAGTAGCCCCTGCTTGCCACAACTAGAGAAAGCCTGTGTCCAGCCACGAAGACCCAACGCAGCCAAAAATAAATAATAAATAAATTTTTTAAAAAAAGAGTGCAAAGAATTCCTGTATATCATTTACCAATTTCCCCTCTTGTTGATACTTTAT